TCCTGCTACAGACACCTTTGTTCTTGTGCAGCTTTCAGCAGAACTTCATTCAGCAGAACTACTCAAATGAGTAAGGTCACATCTCTAAATGCTTATACCTCATTCTTTGATTGACCTGGGACAGTTGATTATCTTTCAGAATTTGTAGTACCCTGAAGTAATCAGGATATTTAATACTCTAAAGAGAAGGATGCAAAAAAACACTCACGTATGGGAGTGTTGCAGAAGAATGTTTTTGTTTCAGCTGTCCCAGGTTTAAATACGTTGTCCTCCGATTGCTGTTTTGATCATCCCCCTTAAATGCCTGAATTAACAGTGCCAATATATGCACACTGCAGTAATTGTATGCTATTGTTATTTAAAGGCTAAATCTAAGCCTGGCTGTAGCTATAGCAACATGATCAGTTTACAGATTAGAGCTCTCTTAAAAAGCTTGGAAAATAATCTGTTAAATTCTAATACAGACTATTATCTCATGCATTTTTTTGTTCTTTACTTTGTATAGAGGGTTCCCATAGTAGTTGCTTTCTCAGCAACTTTTACATGGAAGAATGTACAAAACCTGGTTTGTATTCCTATGTGCAAACCCTAGTTCAATATGTGTATTTTTACTACAACAAAAGTGCTAACCTAAAGAGCACCAAATGTCCAACCAAATGGTGGAGCAGAAATAATAAAGAATAGTGAATTGCAGTAAGGGAAGTTCTTACTTGAGGAGAGAAACAAACAATTCTATGATAGAGAGCCAAAGAAAGGATGAAGGTAAAACATTTGTCTGCCTGGTTAGTTGTTTGGGCACATACACACACCTAAGATGATCAAGTAGACAACGTTATCAGTAATCAGAGAGGGATTCAGTTCAAATAGTAATACTGTTTGGAGTTGAGCTGTACATCTTATCTGAAGTTTCAAACTCAGTGTTAATGTGAACCAAGCCCCACAGTAGCTGTGCATGAAGGTGTTAAGTATCATTGTGCCCGTTTTACAGAAGGACAAACTGAGCGCTATCAGGTTGCATGAACGCTCAACACCCAGAAAAGCTAATGAAAACATTGTCCCCGTTTTTCTGGAATGTTAGCTCAAATTCCTTGCATGCAAAGCTGGTAAAAGAAACAGGAGTCTACTCTAGTACTGAAATATGTGTGTGTATTAATGGACGTGGGCTGCAGGTATTGAAAACAAGGGTATAATTATCTCCATTTATTCTCAGTTTCCTGGGTAATGGAATGATGGATGTAGCGGAGGACATTATTGCTCATTAATGCAAACTCTCTTTTAATTTAAAAGGCTTTAAGTCAGATTCTATGGTAACAGATGATAGCTTCCTTAGAAACAGACAGTTGTCTGCTGTGGTTGTAACGGAAAAATAATTTTAGTCTGTTTTTGTAAGAGAAAGTAAGCTTAAAAGATGGTGCTGTCTGCTAATTTCCCCTCCTCCAATCCTTTTTAATCCGTTAGTCACCTTCAACCAGATTTGATGTATGGATGTAGACCTCAAAACCCCTAAAATTTAATGAAAATCAATAGTTGGGTAGAAGAGAGAGAGCTACTTTAATATCTCTATAAGGAGTAGCGATAGTAGGAATAACCCAAGTTCTTATCTGTTCCATGATGTGGCATTCAACTGGTCAACATGTACAGCTGTTGCTCTGAACCAGCTACAGAACCACATGGGAGGGAGCTGGGGAGAGAAAGTTTTTGGACAGACGGGAAGTGTTGGGGATATGGGAGGGAACAGGGAGTGCTGAGTAGGAGGATAGGGAGGGGATGTGGAACAGAAAATCAGGGCAGGAAACAAAACTTTATTGGTTCTGCTGATTATGGAATAACTTGTTAGTTATGTCAGAAGTGGCACAGTACTGGACCAGGGCACTGCTAGGGCTTGTGGTAACCTGTACTTGCACACTGGATTCAGAGACTATTTGTATTAGAGAATCTACAGCCAGACTTGCCTTCAAATGCTTGTGACCTTAGTTCTAGTTACAGATTAAAAACCTTGGCTTACGTGCAAAATGTGAGGAACACAAATTCCCCTCATATCTGTGTGTTGAATGGGATGATACGGCCAGCATTCCTTTCCAGGACTGTTTGTTCCAAGCCAGGATTTAAGGGACCTATGTTATAACACTGGAACACAATGTCTGCAGTTATTCCGTCTAGCTGCTAAAATGCCATCAGGAAATGCAAATTCCTGTCTGTTTGTTATCCTAGGGATAACTTTGTCCGATAGAAGAGTCTGAGAAGAAACAAGAACTTGCTCTCACTTCTGGTTATTCCAGGCTGCTATGAGTGGTGTCTCTGGAAGCCTGGCTGTGTTTTTGCTTCAGGTACCAATGGAAACATTTTGAGGGTTTCGGTCCATATTTTCCGGTATGTTTACAGGGCAGACATACAGTCCTACCTAGGTCAAGTACCCGTGAGTTTTGGCAGCTTGTTCTTGCAACTATGCTGTTATGCACTATTCAAATTGACTTTAAACTAACTAGGTTATGTATGTCTGCTGCAGACATAGACTGCTCCACATTTAGATTCACCCTCAAATCCAGTTGCTGAGCACCAACAGCTCCCAATGATTTCAGAGTTCTTCCTTTCTTTGGATCAGATCTTACATCAGCAAACTAGTATAATAGCACCTGCTGAAGTTTTATGGATTTTTGCTTGTTCACTTTTAATAAGCTTTATTGCAGTTACTGCACAGCCACTTTGAAAGAAATAATTCATGCACAGTTATGAACACGGTATGTTCACTTCTCAGTTCCGACTGTTGTGTATCTTACCAAACTCACAAATGAAGTCAAATTCCTGGCTGCAATTTTCAGTCATACCCCACTGATACTTGGCGTTCTTCAGGATGTACCCGCATGTGGATGAGAAGGAAGATGACTGATCCGCGTACCAGTTACTGTAGCTTATATTTGAAGTGTCCAGCCAAATCATTGACCCTATGAACAAAGTAAATCATGTCCTGAATGTTTATTTTCCATAGTAACACAGATAAAGAGTCAGAGCCTGTAGAGCAGGCTTTATCTGCACCTGTGCAGAGGTACTTTGTCTGAATAAAGAAAAATATCTTTAATTTCATTTTACATTTAACTTGATAAAACCACTAACTCAGACACTGCCACTTCCCCCTATGCTCCCAGCCTCAAGATTCCACCATTTCCCTTGCAGCAGACTTTACAACCCTTGATAGCGTGATGAATCGGATCAGCTTGCTCATCAGCTGTAGAACTAACCCACACATTTTCTTCCCCAGGTTAGAAAGCTGACCCAATTCATCATTTGTTTGTACAACCACAAGACCCAATGGAAAGGGTGACAACATGCAACAGGGAAGTGAAGCAGCCATTTAAAACATCTTAATATAAATCCAAAGTTTTAGCAACAAAAAACAATGGCTTTTCAGCAGATGTCTATAGAGGGATTGATTCCATTTTTTGTTAGATTAAGCATCATGTGCTGATACAGTATTAAATATGACATGGTTTCAAAATCACCTACCGTCAGTAGTTTCGTTCAGCAAGGTGTTTGAGATCAGTCCTATCCACCATTCCCGGTCCTCAGGGATATGTTTTTGCAAGAACTCTTGAGTTTCCTCATTTTCAATAAAGGCAAGGTGCCCCCCTCCTCTCTCACACCAGTTCTGGGCACTTATGAAGGTGCGCTGAAGTCTAACAAACTCATAGCATGAATGTTTGAAAGCTGTCTGGTACTTTGAGCAAGGGATTCCTTCCTCAACAGTTGCCTCCTCCAAAGCCCAGCATACAGCAAAAGAAATTAGAATTGCAGTTCCAAGCCACATTCTCAGCTCAGTGCCCTGCATGGCACTGGTCTTGCTCATTGCCACGCCACTCTTTTTGTTGCTGTCTTCAATGGCTAGAGATGTCATCCTTGTCATGTCATCAATATTTTTCCTTTCTCTTTGCTGCTTGCAACAATAGCAGCAATAGAACGTGGAACAGATTGCTTCTAATATGTAATGGTGATTGCATCTGAGGATACGCATGCCAGGTGTTGATGCTAAGTCACTGCAAACAGCTATTGTGAGGCCCATTGTATAAACATTTCATTCCCAATAAAGTCAGTTTGCAGAGAAGCCATTAGAATATTACTTTCCTCATGAGCAGAGAAGATAAAGTTGATATATGTTGCTGCTGTACGCATGGGAAAGTGAGATAAAGCTCACCCATCAAAGGAGTCATTGTGTGAACATTAAAGCTGGGGGTCTTCACAGCAACAACAGTGAAATATAATAGTAAGAATGAGAGGAGAAGGAGGAAAATGAGAATTCAGAAACACAAGGAGTCATGAGATACCAAAACACGTGGTGGCCCTCTAGAGTCTTCTAAATGTTTTGGATTGCTTTATTTTTAATAATTATTATTGTTTCAATATAATTATGTGAGTTGCTTCTTTTGGATGCTAATATAATGTCTATAATTATTGTATCAAATTCATCCTGCCCATTTGTTTACACATAACCAGGTTAATCTCAGCTCTCTCAAGTAAGCTTTATTTTGAACTATTGTGTCCGTTTAGAATTCCGCACCCCCTGTGAAACGCTCCTGTCATCCCTTTAAAGCTAAGCTGCCCAACTCTACAGAGCTACGTTATTTATATTTGCCAGGAGGTACAAGAGAAGGCTAAAAGTTAAAACAGTCATTTAAAAAAGATGAAAGTACTGCCTTGATAAACAGAACTGCTTGGGAGCCCTATGTGCACATTCCAAAGGCTGATGATGGACTTTAGGAAGCCAGCCCAGCAACATTTAGGAGCTGAAACACCTAAATGCTTCTGAACTTTCTTGCAAGAGATACCCATCAGGTTTACAAGGCCGTTGGATCAGAGAGACACAGTACAAATAAGGATCTTTGGCTTTTGTGATCCTCCTGTCCTTAGTGTAACTCCACTGAATTTTATGCTATTATTATTAATTTATACCACCATAACCTGACACTGAAAGAACACACACTTATATTTAGACAAGGATCAGAGTGAGACAGCTACTGCGTCACAGAGATGCAGGAAGCAGCAATGTTTGGCTGAATTGCTCCATTGCAGAAATGCCAACTGCATTGCACTGTTGACCTGAAGGTAACGCACATATTACACAATATGCCAGTCTCTACTACTACCCTGTTCTAACTCCCTAAAGCTTTCTTGCAAAGTAAAGTATGTACACAGCAGCCAGTAACAATTTAACAATGATCCTCAGTCCCAAGACCATTCTGGACCTCCAGTTCATAGTCATCTTGCTCAGCTGGGTAAAGCAGTCCTTGATCAGGACTTTTAGGAGTTTTGTTTATAGAAAAGTATTTAAGGGGTAAGACAATTGTGGAAAAGGGAAGGAAAGGAAAAGAAAATGCTCAGAGATGGAAGGATACACACTGTGCTGGATGTCCCCTCTCCCACTACACTTGAAAATTCAGGCTTACCTCAGCTGTGGAATCTGTGGAGCAGATCCCACATTAACATCTAGCTGATTAACAGGAAGGGCTGATGGAGCAGCCGAGATGAGAATATACAGACTGGGTTCCCCAGCTCTGGGGACTGCCACTCCATACTCTGATTAGTTGATGAATCTGGCCTAGTCAGTGCCCAGACACCCATCTCCTTCCTGGAACAGACCCTGTAAACATGATTATCAGCTGTTTCTGTTGAGGATGTCTGCAGATTAGGAGTCTCTTTTGGGCTGCATACAAAACTTCATAGGTTTCTGTTTGGGACCGCCCCAGCTTGACTGCCTTATATTCAAGCTATTGCAAAACTTAAAGCTGAGAGCAGCTTTTGTTCAATTACTCGGCCACTGTATATTTTCATGACATTTCCTTTAGAGTGCTTGCTTCTCCATGGGCCGTGCTGACCTGCCTGGATTTGGAGAAGCTGGCAGCCAGCCCTACCATTTTAGGCCTTATAGTTATGAGAAGCATACCTTGTTTCTGAAAACAAAGGTATGAAGGAGACTGTATTTAAATGAATCTTATTCAGTGATGCAAAACTGTGGATTTCCAGTAAGTGACATTGACTCTCTCATTTGTGATGGGTGGATTCTGTAGCTTCTTTCAGTTCTCCCTCTGCAACTGGGAATTTGACTACATGAGCATACTGCTAAAAGTGCCAGAGCTAGAGGTGCCACAGGCTATACTCTATGGATCTGCTCCAAAGCCATTGAAATTAATGGAAGTCTTGTCTTTGGCTTTGATGGATTTTGAAACAGGCCCCAAAAAAGAACAAGGAATGTTTGGAAATGTCTACAAATAAAGCCAAGATCTCCAAGTGAGTCCACTGTTAGCAATTTCTACAGCAGTGTGAATTTTTTTCCTAATCTACGGTTGCTATAAGTAACTCTTCAACTGCCTGCAGCAGCTGGAGAATGGAAGAAAGATAGTTTCTCTCTTTTGCAGTTTGTTGACTTCGTACATTTCAGTGTCACTAAAGCTGTCAGTCGGTTTATTCTGCTATTTACCACAGGGAAGAGAAAAGCACTTGCATAAAAGAAAATGCTGTTTTAAAAGCATCAAAATTAGCAACTAGGGTCCTCAGGAAGCAAGAAAATTCCTGGAAGCCCTTTCAGTCATTACTGAAAAATAGCTTTATTTCAAATAAACTGTGCTCCTTGAATTTAACATTTTGTAGGAAACATGTGTTTTGCATTCTTCTTCAACAGAAACACTTTTGTATTTTAATAGCTTTCTTATGCTAGCAGTCAGCATGGAAACGTCACAGTATAATAGTATTTTTTTCACTATTCACCTTTGTGCAGTTGTCTGAGGTAATTAAATAATTTAAGTAATTTAAGAAGTTATTTAAATACTCATATACGCTAGTGTGCAAGAGAGAAAAAGGTGCACGTAGCTGTATAATTTCAGCTTGTGTGCTTCCAAAGGGAGTCATGGAAGTGCGGGAGTCCCTGCAAGTACAAAAAGCTGCCCCCATCCCCATGCCCATGGAAGTGAAACTGACCCCAACAAGTACCGCAAAGCCACTCCAGGAAATTCAGGAAAGTGTTAGGTATAATGTCAGTTATACAGATTTTGGATACACCAAATCCAATTCACTTGCTCGTTTTCGTTTCCCTTTTTGCATAGTTCTGAGGAACTTGGACAGACTCACAAAAGAAAAGCCTTTGCATAAGCATTGTTTTTAAAGAACTGTAAGCCTTTCACTTAGAGCCAAGACTTGTTAATCCTTGTTCAGTTATAACTGCCTGCCTGAAAGGCTGATGTGGTAAGCACCCTTACAGCACATATTATGTCCCAGGGACTTAAATTAAAACATATTCACCAGCTAAAATGAGACTTGCAAAGCAATTGTATTTTGCAAGCTTTGACTAGAAATCAGTGACCAAGCTTTCTTAATATTTTCACGCCTTCACTCCAAGCAGCAATAAAGCTATGAATAACTCCTTGTTTGTGAACTCTCTTGCATCTGTTGGAGTAAGTCTTTCACTTTTCTCAGAAATGTTTTTAGGGGGCCCTGCAGATCTCTTACAGAGTCCTAACTTGCCCTTATGAATTACCCCAGATGGTGGCCATCAAGAGAAAGTTTCTCTGGAAAAGCATTGTGCTATATAAAACATCACAAAAGACAATGAAGAGTTCCGAAAGGAAATCTGTAATTCCCAAAGGGATCCTTCAAGGTTTACTAATTTTTTTTCTGTTGGAAGTAGAGGCAGGTGAGATGAAAGAAAACTGAAGCATATTTTGTTAAAAGTTAATAGATGTTAAAAAAAAAAAGGTGGCCTGTACTGAGTTTCTTAAGAGAACCTTCTAGGTAATATTCACCACTTCTGAAAATAGAAGCCTTTAAAACATCTCAGCTTTGGTAGCCTCATCTCAATGTATTCATAATCACTAAATATTTTTATTAAATCTAAGCTTATATTTATAAATGATGTGCCATTTAGAATGCTTAGCTTTATATGCCTAAATTTTTGTAGATCAAGGTGATGAGTACACACCATGCTTTGAAAATCAGCCTTTCATACTCCATATTAGGCATAGAGCACTCCATATTAGGCATGCAGCATTGGAGGCTGTTTATGAAAAATGCAAGCCTGAATTCTTGTTCAACGTAACCAATAGCTCCATAGCTGCAGCTCAGGCTACCCTGAATCCAACTGCAAATCTCTCCATGACCAACTGCTACTATTAGGAAAAAGCAGCTCATTTGTAAGAGTTTCTTATTTCTGAACTTCAGTCTCCCAGACCTGAGGAAAAACAGTTCCAAAGTTTCACTGGACTTTATTTGTAGAGCTTGGTGCAGACAAGGAGAGGCACTTTGCCTCCACTGACTTCAGGGTGGTCCTTATTTGTACCCTAGTGCAGATCAGAATTGCATCATGGCAGTCTAATAATGTCCTGTGCTTCAAAAGGCCATTGCAGCACAGTGGAATAGCTTGACAATCCTCTAACACAGGCCGGAAAGTAACAGACTTGAAGAGTTAAGGAAATGAAGAGCTGCCAATGGGAAGGAATAAATCACAACCCCATTCATTTTGGCTTTTGTTCATTTGCCTTGAGGAACAGCGAGTAAATTTACTCTCTACAGGAAGATATTACCGTCTTTACATTCCTGAACATTACTGAGTGCTATGTGTAAATTTTATCAGGAACACAAATATGCCTCTGTTCTATGAGTTGAACATTCATAGAAATCGAAAATTGTGTGACATTACTTAGGCTTTGAGGTGGAAAAAAGACGATTTTCAGGCCTCACTAACTTGAGACAAGATTGTGAGTGATCCATTTTAGTGTATGTCACATGCACTTCTGCTGTGTGAAGAACTCCCTCTTGAAAAGTTCAGTTCATTATTACCCAAATAGGTCGGAAGTACTGAGTACTGAGAAGACTTTCTGGAATGGGATGGAGAAAAGCCCGTAGCTACAGCTACTTCTT